CTCACAAACAAAGACAAAGATCCTCCCGCATAGCCTTTAACGGACTGTTGTGGCAAGTGCTGTTAGCGAGCACCTAAGGCCAACATGGCACACGAGGGGATGAACGGCCAGCACCACGCCCGGCCGTCTTTGTCTCTCCATGTGCCAACGTTTAATACAAATAACACCAGGTACTCATTTAAGGCTAAGTCGACTGAGGAGAGGCCCAGGACCGATTCAGATAATCGTCACCAGTGTTGGTGGCCGTGAGCAGGAATCAAACTCGGGCCGCTGGATTCACAGCGCAGCGTGGCGCTAACCGCTACACCTACCTACCGCTCCCCACTCGCTCGCGCACACAGACTAACAACGCCACTGCAGCGGGAGCAGCAGCACAGATTTCTAGAAATTTCCATCGCGACATCAGGAGTTGACGTCACCCGCTGTTTTCCCGCAGTGATCCTCCGACTAAGCCACACACTACGCCGGGCGGGCGGGCAGGCGGTGTTCACATCTGGCTGGGTACAATGAGCGCCCTGGTTAAAGCGCTCGGCTCACATTTTGCAAAGTCGTGAGTTCAGATCTCCAGTCGCGAGTCATATTGCTGGGGTTAAACAACACGAGCAGTCAACAAGAGGTGATCCCCATGGAGATAATGACTGATCCTCTCCATAGGAATGTGTAATTTCCACTATTTGCTTAGGGCTAGCAACAGCATGATGAGCATCGCTTCTCGCCGATACGAGCGCAGAGTCACATTTTCGGAACTTTGCTATTCAAACAAAAAAACTGGTTTTACTTCAACGATCATACACAACAGCAAAAAATCACTCCTTTGAAACGACGTGTAAACTGCGATCGCACTGGCCAGGGCACGCCATGTCCTTGTATAACGGCGGGGTTGTCTCTGATGGGGGGGGCTAAACGTTCTGGGAGAGCTAAGTTTAACCCTGAACAAGTGACCTCTTGGTGGTTTGTATTTTTAGCCCGAACCAAATGCCACGGGGCCACATATGCATTTTAGGTTCTGCTCTTGTTGAGGGTGCGGCGGTACGGACGCGCAACTTTCTCAATCTCGTGCCATATTTTAAGGCTCGCTTTTGGTAAAACCCGTGGTCCGTCCCCAAAGTAAATGTGGGAAAATGTGCCAAGTGAATGGCGATTGTAATTCAGCTGTCACCAAGCAATTTGTGGGATTTGTGAGGGTTTCAGTGACATCTGTACAAATAAGCATTCGAAATGTTATCATTATTAATGTGCTTTATGATATTTAGCCAGGCTGGCACGGGGCCTCAAAATGCCTTCATCCAGCAGTGGATTAATCATGGCTGATGATGCTGATGACTTAGCCAGGCATGCCCTAATCAATGTGTCTCAAAGCTTTTTTGTAAGAGGGCCTTACTTGGAATGTTTGGACAATACGTTAATAATGATAAACAATTAAAACAAGGAATTTACAGGCCTTTGACAATGTGCTCATGGATATGGGCTGGGTCAGTCAAGAAGGTTGTTTGACCATACTTCCCCACGCTGGTCAGCAAATGTTGATGAAGGGGTGTGGGCCCACGTCCAGTTCAGATATCACTCGCCACTGATAACAGCTGCGGTCGCTATATGGCGAAGTGCGCTAACCACTGTGCCACCACTCCACCCATGTCATGTTTCATGCGTCAAAGCCACGCACGTATTGTAACACACAGGTGGTTAACTCTTCTTAAAAAAAAGGGCAGCACAATTATGTCAGGCTTATTTTAATAATTCACAAGCTTTTTAGTGGCTCGTAGACCATAGAGTGGCTAAGATGTACGCGCGAGTTGGCTTGCAACAACAACGTCCCCCCAGCGTACATGACCACGTTTGTGGGCCCGTGTTTAGGATGCGTGTCAGTGCTACGCATTCAAATATCCCCGATGCCAGAGCAGCCATGGGATTCCTGTACGTGTGGCAGGCGTGTGCGTTTAAAACGATAGACCGCATCGGCTATGTGCGCGCGTGGGATCCTAGACGGTTCTGCCACATGCCCCAAGCAGCTTCTGTTCGGCTGCGTAGAGGCGGGCGAAACGGGCACGACACGGGGTGGGGGAGAGATGGAGCTGATGCGATATGGGAGGATGTGGAGCTGAGTGGACCTGCCGAAGATCGGTACTGGCAGTGTCAAGATCGGCCTCTGTGGAGGAGGCTCGTGAAGGACGCTACTGGGCAGTTGGAGGCAGTCGCCCTCCAACAACAACGGAGGGCGGAGGAGCGACGCTCACAACAACGAGCGGAGCGCCGGGCGAATAAAACGCAGCAAGTTGGCACAGTGGGGGGGAACTGATGGTGGTGTGCATCTGCCGGTCATCTCAGTCAGCCAACCCATGGCACCTGGGTCTGTCCCGAAACCTTCTGTCAGCGAGCCTTCGACATTCTTCTACAATACACCACCCTCTCTTCAACACACTACACTTCTTTAACACTCGCTGGTAGTTGATAGCTCGAGTTAGTGACACCTCGTCTCGTTCACTAACAGTTAAAGATAAAGTATAGTCCACAGCTCGTGATATTTCTACTGCGTAATGTAGAGCTAATTCCTAGTTGGTGATGGATATGGCGAGTGACCTCTAGCAATACCTCTGCTGACAACTAGTTCACGATTCCTTCTTAGTTATTAACTATTTAATGACAAGTTATTGCCATCTCGAGTTAACTTCAGCTGAAGACATCTGTGGTTCGTGCTCTTTAGTTAGTGATAACTCTACGATCACGTTCGTTCGTAAAAGATAGCGAGTGACTTGCCAAGTTCATTACCTCAAGCGAGCTATTATAGCTCGTCAGTGAAAGCTCGTGACATGGATCTCCAGACAGTAACAACTTTAGTTCAGAACGTCCGCGTCATCTCTCATTCATCATCTCTAGTTAGCAGTAACTCTAGATGATGATAGCTAGAATTATTGCCAGCTCGAGTTGATGTTTGCTAGTTCGCGACCACACCAGTCCAGCACTGGTTTATATCGCTCGTTGGAAACTAAAGTTAATCACCGTTCACCGTCATGGCAGCGAGTGGTCACTCTGCAAGGAGATGACATCTTGAAGGTTGGCACAACCTCCTGATTGCAATCCTTGTGCAGCCAAGACTTCACTTAGAGCTGGAGCATGGAGATGATGATAATGATGTCTGTGGGTGCAGTGACTACCTCTGGGTATGTCTACGTCTATGCATGTACACGTTTTGAAGACTTATTAAGATGATGATGATGGTAGAGATGGTGGTGGTCATGAGGATGGTTCCCGTGATACTGCTCCTACTGATCATGATGATGATGCTGATGGTAGAGATGGTGGTGGTCACGATGGTTCCCGTGATACTGCTCCTACTGATCATGATGATGCTGATAGAGATGGTGGTAGTCATGAGGATGGTTCCCGTGATGCTGCTCCTACTGATCATGATGATGTTGCTGATGATGATAGAGATGGTGGTGGTCATGAGGATGGTTCCCGTGATACTGCTCCTACTGATCATGATGTTGATGATGATGCTGATGGTAGAGATGGTGGTGGTCATGATGGTTCCCGTGATGCTGCTCCTACTGATCATGTTGATGATGATAGAGATGATGGTGGTCATGATGGTTCCCGTGATACTGCTCCTACTGATCATGATGTTGATGATGATGCTGATGGTAGAGATGATGGTGGTCATGAGGATGGTTCCCGTGATGCTGCTCCTACTGATCATGATGTTGATGATGCTGATAGAGATGGTGGTGGTCATGAGGATGGTTCCCGTGATACTGCTCCTACTGATCATGATGTTGATGATGATGATAGAGATGGTGGTGGTCATGAGGATGGTTCCCGTGATACTGCTCCTACTGATCATGATGTTGATGCTGATGATAGAGATGATGGTGGTCATGAGGATGGTTCCCGTGATGCTGCTCCTACTGATCATGATGTTGATGGTAGAGATGATGGTGGTCATGATGATGGTAGAGATGGCGGTGGTCATGAGGATGGTTCCCGTAATGCTGCTCCTACTGATCATGATGATGGTAGAGATGGTGGTGGTCATGATGATGATGGTAGAGATGGTGGTGGTCATGAGGATGGTTCCCGTAATGCTGCTCCTACTGATCATGATGATGGTAGAGATGGTGGTGGTCATGATGATGCTGATAGAGATGGTGGTGGTCATGAGGATGGTTCCCGTGATACTGCTCCTACTGACCATGATGTTGATGATGATGCTGATAGAGATGATGGTGGTCATGATGGTTCCCGTGATGCTGCTCCTACTGATCATGATGATTATGCTGATGCTGATGATAGAGATGGTGGTGGTCATGAGGATGGTTCCCGTGGAGCTGCTCCTACTGATCATGTTGTTGATGATAGAGATGGTGGTGGTCATATTGGTACCCATGATGCTGGTCAACACAACTCTGTCGGTAATGGTGCTTACTGTCCATGGATGCGAAATGACATTCCTAATGATCACGATGATGGCAATGATTGTGGTGATTATTATTATGCTACTCGTGATAATGGCCATGAAGCTACAGATCACGACGATCCATCTAATGATGGTACGGATCCATGATTATGCTGCTGCTGTTGATGATGATGATTGCCCTGATAACTGCACATGACACTGCTGCTGCTTGTGCCGACCATGATGCCACTATTATACCTCTACGACTGATCAAGTTCGAGCGACATTGATGTTTAAATGATTTACACTGCTGCTCAGATTCACGACACTGATGGTGGTGCTGATGATGATCACAACGCTGCTGCAGGTGACACCGATGATGTTACACACTGTACAGGCTGGTCCAGATGTCTTGTGATCCCCAATTTAATCGTACTCCTAACATGTTTGTTCCCTTTGCATGTTAATTTCAGTTTTAAATAACTCCTTACTTAAAAAAAACGTTTTAAGACGATTAAACGGGAGAGGTGGGTCACCAGACATCTGGACCACACCCCCGGCATGCCGAACTTCTTTCGCACCGCACGTAGACAACCCCCTCCCTCACCTTCCTCGCCGTATCTGTCGAAGACGTCCCTCTTGTTGGGATCGCTGAGCACCTCGTACGCTTCGGCCACCTCCTTGAACCTCTCCTCGGCGTGAGGGGCCTTGTTCTTGTCCGGGTGCCACTTGAGAGCCATCTTCCTGTACGCCTTCTTGATGTCGTCGTCGCTGGCGTCGCGAGCGATGCCCAGGATCCTGTAGTAGTCCTTGCCCATCGCTTCGATAAGAGGAGGCGCTCGCTAACTAACACGGCGAGCTAGTGCTGCTTCCCACCCCCACCTAAAGATGATTTGTGTTGTTGTGTTACGAGTCGCACTCCGATGTTTGTGAAGAAGGTTGCTAGAAGGTTTCGGCTCGCCGGGTGCGTCGCTGGCCACTTGTGCTACGGTTCAGATTTTTTTTGTTTTTTTTTAAAAGTTCCCCGTTAAGTCTATCAAGAAGCGTGTCGGTCGTCGAGTTGCTCAGAACTAAGTGGAGCGCAACACAATTGTTACACTTGTGCGTGCAACGCTACGCCGAGGGTCTTCCGTTTGCGCTCGCGGCAGTGTGTGTGTGTGTAAGGTGCTGTTTGTATCTGGCTGTACGTGCGGTGTGGGGTTGTCGCCGTTACAAGTGTGTGCAACACAGCCGGCGAAGCTGGGAGGCTGTCGAGTTGGGTCTGCACGAACACCGCTGACCCGGCGTCTTGTTGCTCAAGTACCCCGCGAGATGTCACGCGTGTGGGAGGGTGGGCACGAACACTCGCCTCGCACTCTCTCTTATTAGATAACGGATTAACGAACCTTCTCTCTCAGTCGTTGTACGGATAAATGAAACCCGCCAAAATCAATACAGTTCAAATACACAAAATCATACCAGCACCAAGCGTTATAAAAAAAATAATAAACTACATAAACGCCCTCGTAATTTAGCGAACGTATAAAATTAGCGCACTACTCTTAGACGCGCGTCATGCCCCGTTGTCCCATAGACAAGGACCCCCTTGCACTGTCCCAATAACCTCCCCAACCGGGCCTGCCCTGAGACAGTGAGGCGCGTAGTTGCACAGGGGGGTGCGTGGGTTACACTTCACACTGCCACACAAAGCCCTGCTGGCCCGCGTCCCCACGCCGGTACGTGTATATATACGACCCCTGTGTGTTTGAGACAGCCCACACACACACACGTGTATATAATACACACACACGTGTGTGTGTGTGACACGCTGGCTCTCCCCATGACGTCAATTCTAGAAGCTTCTACGCCCCGCCAGCACGTTCTGCCCTGACGTCACCGCCGCCCACCCCTCCTCCCAGCTGATCGGACACGCCCATCGCACTGTAAGCGCCGCCCCACTCCCGTAAAACCACGCCTACTTCTCACCTTAACCACGCCCGTTTGTCGATTTAGCCACGTCCCACCAAGAGAGCAAGCCCCGCCCGGAGCCTATCCGTGGCCACGCCTCCCCCCCCCAAAGCGCGGCCCCGCCCCCCGCCGCCTGTGGCAACGCCTCGTTTCTCTTTAGCCACGCGCCGCTGGTGGGTTGGTCACGCCCCCCTCCACCCGTCACTCCCGGCTGAGTAAGAATGCTATGTTCCTGGCACTCGTAGTGCAATATGGGACATGCTGATGGGGTATTTCATGTTCATGTGGCGAAATACTTCTTATTATTAAGCAATGGTCCTCCGTTCGGTGGAAAAGCTACCAAAACGTTTCACTGGTCTGGACCGGGGTGCTGCAAGTTTACAAACAATTGTTATAATTTTATCAACACGTTTATTGTGGGAGTTTTCTGGTAATTTACGGATTTAATTATTCATTTGCTTTTGTTTTGATTTACAGTTGCCTTGTTTTGCGTTTGTCGTATTGGTGACCCAGGTCACCCGAGGTGTCACCTGGATATACAGAATCAGAATATTTATTTAGACACACGGTTGAAACCAGAATAGTAGCAACAATGCCGCCCCATGGGAACAAATGTGCGATGTTTCGGGCAAGGGCCCTTATTAATAGCACGTGGAATTCGCTTGTGTTATGGCATTGATTCATACCTACGATTAACACGGTTGGCTACGTACGGTGCGAAAGAAGTTTAACATCGATTTAAAGCTTTCGTGACTGCAAGGATTCATCTTCTTTGGTTCTGTGTTGTGGCCGAAACGTCGTGAGAATATGATTGTGTTATTTTATTTTATCAATTTATTATTTTATTCTCATTCTACGTGACTTTACCGAAATAACCAAAGAAGAAGTTTAACATAGTACAGTACATACATTGACATCATAATTTCCGTAGCCCTAAATCAAACTTTGGGCAACAATTGGTCAACACATTCCACTTGGAATATAGCATTGCTCTCATTCCCGTACATGTGTCGCCGTGGTGCAAAGGTTAACGGCACTGGCCTGACAACCCAGAGGCCAGGTGATGGCCTCCACGATCTCCGGGCGTGGCAGTTTTATTGTAAATCTCCTCCTGTCTCGGTCCACCGAGCAATACAAACGTGAAAGGAAGGCCACGCGAGTGAACGTTGTCGTTCCAACAGCACCAACGCGAACAGTTTGTAGGGCACGAACGCTGCTTTTGGCAGGCCAGCCCTAGCTTCTGTAAAACGACGCCCTAAATGTGACGATTTCAACAGTTAGGGAAGGCACCGCCCATCGTGCATTCTGGAAGCCAAATGGTTTCACACAATCTAATAAAAACGTACTGCTCCACAATTGGAACAATCGGTGACGTATTCTTGGTTCTTTCGGTAAAGTCACGTAGAAGGGAAACAATAAAATAGTAAAAATATAAAACAATATTTTTACTATTTTATAAAACAATATTTTTTATTATTTTATAAAACAATATTTTATTATTTGATTGTTTCCCTTCTACGTGACTTTACCGAAAGAACCAAGAATATGAATCCCTGCAGTCACGAAAGCTTTAAATAAAAAAAATCGGTGACGTGTTTACTTTCACTTTCATATTGTACTTCCGATGTATTCTACAACTTCATCTCGAGCTCTTCACAACCCCGCCACTCCATCTCCTCTCCACAGGCTTCACTCCACTCCAACTGCAATTTCACCCCTTTCGATCTGCCCTTAAACTCCATCAACTGCCCCAACTGAGAGCCTCGTGGCTGCCCATCAACTGCTCCAACTGAGGGCCTCGTGGCTGCCCGTCAGCTGCCCCAAGTGACAGCCCCGTGGCTGCCCGCTGATCCCACGCCACCTCACACCCACGAGCTGCCAAGAGCCCGCGGGGCTGTCCACGGAGTGGTGCCGTTAACGTTCACATCCAGCAACCACGAGCCTGGAGTCTCATCCCTTAATTCCTTGATACATAAGGATTGTTTCACCACGCTCCCACGGCACCCCCGCCTTTGTCTCCCCCCACCCCCTCTTATTTTTTCGTGTCTCTTTCTCGTGACTTCCTCGCCAGCGCCCCTCTTTAATTATTACGCTGAACGTAGACCCTTGACCTTTGCGTGACCCCCCCCCCGACTCTCCATCCTAACCGCGTCCCCACGCACGAGTCCGACACACGGACGATGGGCACGGGGTTCGCGCTGTGTGCCCCGTGTGTAAAGTGTGGCTGCCGCCTGTGCGGTCAGCGGGGAAGAGTAGGCCAAATACCCCTCTGGGAGGAAGGGTGCCTCCAGACAGGACCTTTGTAGCCGGCGACCCCTTTTATCGCCACCAGTAGTGGCGTAAAATGTTGCCTGGACAACCCCGTTTTTGAGATGGGACGTCTCGTTTGCACGGGCGTCCATCTCCAGCAAGGCGTCTTTAGCACGCATTGGGACGACCGATTAAATGTAGATCCGCAACAGCCCCTGTGGCAACCTGTCGCGTTGTTGGTGGTCACCCCATCAGAGCACCACCCGGGCTAAACGTACTTCATTTCCCGAGATCTGACGGGATATTGGGCGCATTCTGGCGTGATGTGTTGCATTTGGCCGTGTCGCATCATCGCCGTCAACAACAAGCTGCATTCTCAATCCCCACCCGACGTCTCGGACATTCCAGAACTCTGCAGATAAACGCGTGCGGACTCGCATTGCGAAACTTGGGTGGTGCGGGGTGGGTGGGTGGGTGGCGGGGAAGAGTGAAAATGACAGAGCGGGCGTGGTGCGAGCCACGTTGAGTCAGAGTTGTCTATCGAGTTGTGTGGAACTATGGGCAGGTGTTGGCAAGGTGTGGAACTCTGGGCAGGTGTTGGCAAGGTCTGGAACTCTGGGCAGGTGTTGGAAAGGTGTGGAACTCTGGGCAGGCGTTGGCAAGGTGTGGAACTCTGGGCAGGCGTTGGCAAGGTGTGGAACTCTAGGCAGGTGTTGGAAAGGTGGAACCGTGCCAGCTGGCTGGGTGTGTTTGTGCCCTTGACTTGCCTCCGTGTGCATTTGAGGCCAGGGCGCTTCTAAAAAACGAAGCTAATGACTCAGTAGGCTTTACCTGGCAAGATTAAAAAGGTTAGTTTTATTTGGATAATGTTTTTTAAGTGAGTTGTTTACCCTTCCTATACTTTGCACTCCGATCGTGTTTGTTGTAACGTTCTGACCTGCCCCTACTGGAGGTCTGTGAAAAGATAGCTTTATAGCTCATCGGAGTCCTCCAGAATGAACAAATATTCTGATTTTTATTCTGATTTTGAACGACTCCCCGCCCCCCACCCACGCTGCGTTGCTCCACTCACTCCGCTCCCGTCACACCCTTGCCACCGCCAACCCAACCACGCACCCATCGAGACATCGCCAGTGCCAATTCGTACTCCCACGCCGGGTTGTCTGCAGCGCCCCCGCTGGAATTGGAGAGCCGTGCGGCGCAACGTCGCGTATCCGCCCTGACCAATTAACCGATCAATTAACCGCCCGCAACCCGTAACCCACAGCTGTCAACCCACACGGTTCACTCCCTATTCTTGTACGGGGAAATTGAGTTTTCAGTACCATACAGCGTACGGCAGTTTCAATAGGGCAACAGCAACAATCCGTCTATTTGTGTTTCTCCCCTGTGATGGGACTCTGTAGGATGAACGTTGAGATTCATAAGGGCACGGGGTGACCAACAAAGTCGGTCTGTAGTAAGCTAGGGCAACGATAAGGGGCGGCCAGGTATGCGTCAACGTAGTTTCAGATGGTTGTAGCCAGCTGTCACTTAACGCAGGGTTTGGTGGCGAGTCGCGCAAGACCATGGACTCGCTCGAGTGCCACGGGTCACTGGGTGTCCGGTCATCCGAGCGCATGCCGGGAGTGAATGCGTTCCGACAGCCGTTGACTCACGACGGCCAAATCCCCCAGAATGCGTGGAATCTCTTTCAGATTCTCAGAAGCCAAGCAGTTGTGAGCCTGGTTAGTGCGTGAACGACCACCACGCGTGATATGTGTTACAGGTTGCTGCGGGGGGGACACGTCGTGGGCAGCACAGGCTTAAATGCAGCGAAGCCATTGTTGTACCGTGCTCACACACGTCTATGCTCCGCGCGTTCTCCGGCCAGCGTGGTGAAGTATGGTCGACTTAGCCCCACGAGCAGTGCGGCATAAAAAAAGGTCCTCGTCCAGCGAAATGGCTCGGCGAAACCACTGTACGCGCACATTCTCGTCTTGCGCCCGGTCGCAGTCGTCAGCAGCTGGGTGACAACGCCGAGGATGCGCTCCAGGAGAGAGTTCGTGTCGCTCTGCGCTTCCTCCTCCGCCGTCGAGGCGAGCGCAGACCACGGTGGGATTATCATCTTTTTGAAACCGCGATCATCCGTTGCCCGAGTCGCGTGGCCACAGTCGCACCACTGTGCCCGCCACCCCCGTGCCTTTAACTTCCCCATTCACGACGGAGACGTTGCCCATCGCTCCTGTCGACGCTCCGATGCGGTTGATGGTCTCCACCAACCGGTGCCTCACAGGAAGCCCAGGGGGTGGCTGGCAGGGGCGCAACGTTTTGGGCCTCGAGCGAGGTGGGGTGGAGGTTCGTTCCGAACTATTGTTCCACTCTGTTCGCCTGCGCTCTTACCGGATCCGCGCGAGGTTCTAGGGTGGTGACAGCAGCGGCGTGGGGGCATCGGTTGATGCCTGGGTGGTGGTTGTCGCTGGCAAGCGAAGCGTGGAAAACCCCCTTGTGCAGTTCGCGCGATACCTCGGTTAGACATTTGGTGGCAGAATGTTCCCCGGAACAAGCAGCCGGCGGGGTCTGGAGGAGGAGGATTTGGTGTCGCGGTTTCAGCGTTCCGATGATGGTGCGCACTTGGCTTGCGCGTCGAACGGTGTAGCGTGCGAGCTCTCGGAGCAGGCTTGGAAGCCGGCGACTCTACCACGGAGTGGAGCAGCAAGAGAGAGACGAGAGAGAGGAAAGAGAGGAAAGGGCGCGGAAGTCCGCGGCACATCAGCCGAGACGCTCCATCCCAGCCCAGCCGCTGACCAAGGTCGTCCGTGGACGTTTCACAAGATGCTAGATGGCCGTGGGGCTTGAAGGGGACGGGCTTCTCTCTGTGCATGTTAATTAAATTGCCGCAATTGTCAGGAATTCTTCGGGAAGAGAGGGGGGGGGGGGACAGGTCTGAAGCCTCAGCTCAAGTCTCCGGTCGCAATTGCTTCGCGTACCACTAAGGAAAGTACTCTTGCTGCTTTAAGGGCTACTGCCAAAAAAAACATTCGCTTGTTTCTCCATCGTAAAACTATATAAAAAATCTTCTTTGGTTATTTCGGTAAAGTCACGTAGAATGAGAATAAAATAATAAATTGATAAAATAAAATAACACAATAATATTCTCACGACGTTTCGGCCACAACACAAGCGGCCTTCATCAGGTGAAGGGAGCGAGACTGTCTGGTAGGACAGCGCTGGAGTGAGAGAGCCACGTTCAGATCACGGCTTTTAAGCTGTGTGAGAGGAACAAAGAGCCCTCAAATTTCCGTACCGTTGAGGGCTCTTTGTTCCTCTCACACAGCTTAAAAGCCGTGATCTGAACGTGGCTCTCTCACTCCAGCGCTGTCCTACCAGACAGTCTCGCTCCCTTCACCTGATGAAGGCCGCTTGTGTTGTGGCCGAAACGTCGTGAGAATATTATTGTGTTATTTTATTTTATCAATTTATTATTTTATTCTCATTCTACGTGACTTTACCGAAAGAACCAAAGAAGATGAATCATTGCAGTCACGAAAGCTTGAAATCGATATATAAAAAATGTTACCAGGTAAGGGCCCACTGAGCTTATACAGCTTTTTTTTTCCGAAGCGACCTGGCAATCACAAATGATAGCTCAACGAAGCGGCTTATCGCGTGGACATTTATATCAGCCAAATAGTCCAAACGCGTCATGTTGATTCTAAATGTGGAGGGGAACACCGGAGGACCCAGGAAAAATCCACGCGACCACGAGGAGAGAGACACGCAAACTCTAAATGTACAGCAAGGCGTCAGGGTCGGGATCGAACCCACGACCTCCTGTGTACCAGGCGAGGTAGTTAACATCCCCTGGCCACCGTGATGATGATGATGAGACATGAACACTCCAAATACACAGCAGACGTTAGGGGCGGGATCGAACATAGGGTCTTTCTGTATACCAGGCGAGGTAGTTAACATCTCCTAACCACCCCAAGTGTTCACAATGGTTTGTTTCCTTTCAACATGGATTTCACATTCTACCTCTGCCCCCTGCCAAATGAAATGCACGTATTTTTGCCAATCCACTGCTGGATGAGGGCCTCCCCACACCGTAGTTCACCAGGGCTGGTTAGTGCGAGTTGCCGAAGGCGGGCGGGGGGTATAGACGATAGAGCGCAGTACGGTACAACCGTGGATTTTGCTGCAATGTCCTCAGCCGTGACGGCCTAAACTGACACGCACGTTTCATGTACGGTGGTCGACCAACCAACCAATCAACGACTGTCCCCCAGTGAACATGCCAACGTCGGGCCGACATTGGCACGTGGTTGGAATCGTTGGACCAACGTTGCCCCAACATTCCACGATTACTGAGATCCAGCCTCTAACCTCGCTTGGTTTCCACTGAAGAGAATGGGTGATCTTTGTTTCTACGCAGCAAATGATGAAAATTACCCAAAAATACCAACATGAAGTGGGGGGGGGGGGGAGAATTAAATAGAAAACTTTATTTTGAAGGTGTGTGCATCAACTTGACGAGTAATTAAACTGGTATCTAATCTTTATTCAGTGGTTTTGGGGAAACATTTCTCTTTAAATGATACAAGGGAAGTATTGAAGAACACTTTTGTTTACAATTCATTACTCTAGTTTTGAAGTTAAAAGACTTGGTCTAATCTACAGTAGGAGCAGAGTACAACTGCCTAATAGAATGGAACATGATCGTAAGACGACAGTTCAAATATATTTAAACGCAAAACAAAGTCGAGTTTTTCTTAATTGTAATACAACAGGAACACTTTGTAAAAAAATGACCTAAAATGTTAAACTCTGTCTGGGGTTAACATCTCATTTAAAACAGAAAAAAAATACAATTCAATTAGTCATTACATATCTGTCAACAACAAAAAAATTCAACTTGCTAGGCAAACGTCTTACCTAGGTACAAAGTTGTTTCAGTGACCGAACACTTGGAAAAATGCCCAATTCCAGTTTGATCGCCATTGTTTTGACGGGGACTTTGTCGTTTGTTGAAGGGTAACCAATTTTTTAGTTTTCAGTTTTCTTGCGTGTTAAGTTTGTTTACTTACGCCCGCTCGCACGCGTGCATTCATGACAGGGCCAACTATTAGGCGGTCAAAAAGAGTCGTTTCAGCGGGCTGGTCGTGAACGTACATGGTCCCCCCTCTCACCGCCCAGGGCCGTTCCGACTGCTTTACAGCGTGGCGATCGCGGGTGGCGATCGCGGGCGGGTCCCTCCCCCCCCACCCCCCCCCCACACTTTTACGTAATAATGTACACAACTTTAAACATTTAAAAAAAGAATAACACGTATAGGTCATAAGCCGGTGTGCACGTGCGCATGCAATCAGAAACATACGTATATACGGTGCTGTACTTAAAAATAAAAGTTATATAATTTTCCGCACGGGGTCAAGCTGCTGGTGGGGCCGGCACTGGGTAGGTACGGCCGCCCCCCCCTTCGCCCCCCCCCTCCCACGCGACGGCGTGTTGACAGCGCACACCGCACCAGGCGACCGATTTAGGCCCAACTGACCTAGGGGAGGTTCCGGCTAAAGATAGCGATTGGCACAGATGAAAAAAAAAAGACCTGGCCAGGAGCGGCACGCGAGACGGCTGGCATTGTAACGTATCGGCGTCCGCGCACATACACGCACGGCGATCACATCGCGAGCCGTGTAACTGCGTTTGTGGCTTCTCGATTTCCCCGCACCTTCCGATTAGCGCGGCCGGCTGCGTACGGCGCGGAAGAAGTTCAACGTACGCAACGTGACGATGGCGAATTTGTAACATTTTCTTGGGGGCGGGGAAAACAAAACAAAAACTGCTGAATATTAAATATGACATGACTTGACTGGAAACTAATCAGCTTGGTAAGCAAGGAAAACATTATCAGTGTGTTATTATATACAGTGTCTGATTGCATGTACGCACACACACACACAAGTGCTCCCTATGTTGTTTGCGGAATATAGTTAGGATCATCAACATAAAGGAGTTCCAAAAAAAGACAAAAGATCACAGGGAATGGTTATGCAAGCTAGTAATTAATAAACGCGATGCGGAACAGTATTAGTCGCGTTACAATTGTATGTTTTGTTCCCTTATAATTTTAAAACACGTTCCCATCGCGCTGGGTGGTCTACGCACTGATCGTAAACCTAACAACACTGAGCTGTCCCGGCGAGGGAAAGCAGCCAATCACAGGCCAAGGGTGCCACAATCCCACAATGCTTTGCGATAAATGACAAAGCACTCGTACGGGAAGTGAAGCTGCGTGTCGGCTCTCGCGATGAAGGCGGTGAACCTCACGCGTGACCAACAACAACTCGGAGCACAATTGGTCAAAAGTTGCTGTGCACTTCTCTAAAATTCAAGACATTGGTCCTTTGTGCGACAGGTAGAGAAAGTATTGTAATGTAAAATGATTTAATAGAACGTATTTAACCCTTACATGGATTTGCAGTGATAAACACCAGGGTCTGCAGCGCAAGGCTTTTACCAGCCTATGTGTCACCTATCAAAACCTTTAGAAATCACACACAGCACTCCCTGCAGACAAGAGGAAGTATCGGGTTTTGAGTGTTCCTATCTATGTGTGCGGGCTTTCTCTGGTCACTCTGGTTTGCAAATAAGGAATTGGTCCATCATTATAGGCGGAGCGTCTTTAAAATAAAGAGCCGAGTCTCCGGAGAGATTTTCCTTATTTTTCATATATGTTTCAACCATTTGAACACTCCATTTCTGATTAATCTAAAAGGTCCCCCGTACAAATGAAGCGTTACTCAAACAGTGCACAAATTTGTCTATAAATTGTCGATGCTGCTCACTGAAGCAGAGCGCTACATCGATGTTAACACATTGGGTAGAAGTAACATGCAAAAGACAATTACGAAGGAAGCTTCTCGGCTGGAATGCTGTTGAGACAGACAGAGAGAGAGTGAGGGGTTGAGTGAGTAGGTACAAATAAAAGTTAAGCAAGATCATTGGAAAATCAACTAATTTGATTGAAAACCGTACAAATCTAAGATGTTTTAGTTGGATGGATGGTAGTCTGGGGTTTGATGGCCTGGCTCAAAGACTTTTTTTGTGCGAGTTCAAATCCCTTAACTTTGACGCCGCACGCACTTAGCAGTGGTCTTCCGCCTCCCCACCTCCCCACCTCCCCAGCGACACAATATTCCCTTTGTGAGCAGCAGGGGCTGCTCGTAGATACGGGGTGCCGGTTTTGCAGGGCGAGTTAAAGGAATAACAAGAAATTGTGGAAACTGACAATCAAGGAACACTTCGAATGGGAATTCAGGCGCGCAGGAGGAGGAAACGAACAGCTTACACTTCGTTAAAAATTAAACAAAAAAACGACGACAGAGTAAGGGGTGACGAGAAGAGGAGGAAGACCAAAAACAAAACGTTAGTTAGGAGACGACGCGGGGACTTTGCCCCCGCGTCACTGCACGCGCTGCCGGTACACGGCCTCCTCCTCCTCCTCGTCGTCCTCCTCGTCGTCGTCCGCTCCACGCTCGTAGCCGCGGTACGCGCCCCCGTAGCCGCGCTCCTCCGCGTAGCCGGCGCCGTTCGCCGCGTCCCGCCCGTTGCTGCGCTCCGCCCCGCGACCCCTGACCCCGCCGCCGAGCTCCTCCTCCTCGTCGTCATCCTCGTCGCCGCCGCCGCCGTCCTCGCCGTAGCCCCGCGCGTTCACGGGCTCCGAGCCGCCGGGGCAGTACTTGGGGTCGTAGACCTGGCGGCCCAGGCCGTACACGATGCCCTTGGCTCCGGGCTGCGCCGTGCCCATCTGCAGCGGGATGGAGCCCTCGTCGCAGTGCTCCATGCCCAGCTTGTGGTCGTAGATGTGGCGCCGCGTGCCCGGGGCGGTCATCCCAGCCTGAGAGGGGGGGGGGAGGGGGGTGGGGGAAAATAAGCGGCGGAGGAATTGAGAGAGTGAGCGGCGTGCGTGCGCGTCTATTGCGGTTGTGGGGAGCGGAAGTGCAACGTTTAGGAGGCGAGCGCTTTAAATGCGGCTGGGTGGGAAGGTTGGCGGAGAAGGGGGATGGTTGTCTAAGAGGGTGATCGGCCGGGTGAGCGATTTTCCAAGTGCGTTGATTAGGGGGGGGTTGAGCAGGCAAGCGGTGGAGCGGACGAGCGGCGGTTTGCGTTTATTTTCTGGACGGGTTCTACAGGCTGGCGAGGACGAGCCCGGGTGGGTGCGAGCGCCTTGCCCCTCGGACGTGCCTGGCTGGCGTGCTTGTTGGTGCCCATCTGCAGGCTGATGGAGGAGTGATCCATGGGCTTGTCGGTCAGCGTCTTAGGGTCGTACAGGTGCCGACGCGTCCCGTAGGCGGTCATGCCCGCCTGGCTTGCGCATTTGTTGGTCCCCATCTGCGCGCGACAACATACAACGAAAAGGCAGCTTGGCACAGAGCCCGGGGACGTTTCTCCTCGCTCGAATAGTCTCCGAGATCAAACGAGCAAAGTGGCCAGGAGTTCACCTCCGTTGATGATCCCCCGGCAGTGCAAAAAGCACAACAAAGTCTCATTCTGTTGGCTCCAAAAGGGGTGACGGACTGACGGACCTCCAGCTGGTACGAGTTCAGCATCGTCACCGCAACGCCAATCCGCTGGCTCTAAATCGGATATTTTAACTATTTTTATTTTACCAGGTAAGGCCCCACTGAGCTATGTGGCTCGTTTTCAGAAGCCACCTGGCTTTCACAAATGATGGCTCAATGAAGTGGCTTATCACGTGGTAAATGTATAGCACGCTACATACTCTAAACGCACGTCGATTTGATATGTGGAGGGAAAAACCGGAAAAAAATCCAAGCGACCGCGGACAGAACATGCAAACTCCAAACACACAGGTGTCAACAGGATTTGGATCGACATCTCGGCACCGTCACGCCCCCGTATAACCGGTGATATCACTGCCGGGTCCTACTGGGAAATCTAGCCGGCGGTATAATTAGAAATCTGGCTGGGTGGCAATGCGGCCGGAGGGCTCGACGAGCCAAGCGAAAGGCACGAGTTGAAAATACTGCCGCAAGTACACATTGGGGAGAATTAAAAGGCGTCGTTACCACGAGAACGTGGAGTACGTAGTAGGCAGTACGTAGTAGGCAGTAGGCAGTACGTAGTAGGCAGTAGGCAGTACGTAGTAGGCAGTAGGCAGTACGTAGTAGGCAGTAGGCAGTACGTAGTAGGCAGTACGTAGTAGGCAGTACGTAGTAGGCAGTAGGCAGTACGTAGTAGGCAGTAGGTAGTAGGTAGTAGGCAGTAGGCTGTACGTAGTAGGCAGTACGTAGTAGGCAGTACGTAGTAGGTAGTACATAGTAGGCAGTACGTAGTAGGCAGTACGTAGTAGGCAGTACGTAGTAGGCAGTAGGCAGTACGTAGTAGGCAGTACGTAGTAGGCAGTACGTAGTAGGCAGTAGGTAGTAGGCGACCTTCGTCCCAGTCCTCGACAAGAGCGGGTAGGGCATGAGAGCGCAGTCGGCATTTTGTTTGTTTCAGTCGTGCCCCTTGGCCACGACAGCCAGGCCCCGTGGAGTCTTCGCTCTTGAAGTTCACGCGGTCATTCTCTTGCGCCCTGGTCGACCGAAGCAGGGTCCCCGCTCTTGGTTATTACACGCTTGTGTAAGTGGCACGTAATTCCCCCACCCCTATATTATAAGGTCAGCCAATCAGTGAACTCTGTAAATCTTTTTTTAATATATATGTAAATATAGCCAATTACCATTTTTGCTATTTTCTCACTGCACTGCAGTCTCTAATAAAGTTACTAAATGACACGGGCTTGCGTGTGCACTCAAGACTCGTTCACTGCGTCTCGTCACAGTCGGTAGTCACGCTTCGCTCTGTGCCGGCAAGTCGTCGCAGTCATCGCCACGCGCAATAAACGTTGTCCAATCACAGTCCTCGTCGTCGAAGACTAAACAAAAAACCAACACTCCAATGACTAATTCTTTCGTCACTACTTCCGTGAACAACGTCAATGCTGCACCGAGGTGACACTGGTACACGTGGGGAGAAAAGAGACAAGGGGGTGGGGGGGGGGGGAGCGAGTTTCGGAGCGGGCGGGGGCGGGCGAGCACAGGCCCACACGTGACAGCGCAGCCCGAATCACCTGCAGGCCGATGACGCACTGGCCGGCCTTCATCTTCTCCGTGTCGAAGTTGCGCTGCTGCTGGTCGGCGTACTTGATGCCGACGTCCGCGTTGGTCTGCACGCCCTTGGTCTTCGCCTGACACACGGGACCACGGGAGGGAGCGCGTGCGTGCACGCGAGCGTCAGGGACAAGCCACTGGTGGATCGAGCCGGTGGTGCCCGGTCCGGTTCCTCGCACAGCCCCCGGTGCAGGCGTCCGTGCCTCTGCTCTAACCGTCGTGGGAACGTTGGGGGTCACAGCCAAACGCTCAGTCCTGTGGCTTTAATCCAGTCCACTTGTTTCCAAGTTCGCCAATTAACAGATGCATAGTACTACGTATGTTGAACTTCTTTCGCGCCGTTCGTAGCCAACCGCGCTAATGTAGTAGTGCCCCCCTTTGCCTAGTGCGACTTTACCGAAAGAACCACTGCAGTCACGAAAGCTTTAAATCAAAATTTAGTGTCACTGTTTACCAGCAGAGGGCAAACACTCCCCGCCATTAAACACGTAGCAGGCTTTCAAGACCAATATTATCCCTAAGAGGTTTTTGGGTTCGATCGCGTGAATATATGTCTTGATTTGAAGCCTTCATGACTGCAGGAACCCATACTCTCTGGTTCTTTCGGTAAAGTCTTTTATTTTTTTTTCGACATGACTTTACCGAAAGAACTAGAGAGTATAAATATAAATGTGTCGTTAAACCCGCCACCACCCGACACAGCTAATTAGTAAGGTTTGTCACGTAAACAGAACGTGCCAATTCGCTACCAGTACAGCACACCGGTGTGTTGGAGAGCAAATCCGCAACATTTACAATCGGAGTACGACGTTTCGCCAGTAATTACAACTAGCTTCATCAGGCGACAGCCAGATTTGTGGATAATTTTTTCTGTTTCCTAAAATTAAATGAACTCCCCTGCCATTAAACACGAACCGGGTAGCGACTCATTTCTCCCTCGATATTTTCTGGGTCACAGGTAAACTGGAGTAGGCCATGAAGCGGTGGCGCGTGACTAGTCGCCGCAGCCAGAGCGAGACGGTTTACTGGGTGTGGTACTACATTTTACTGGGTGTGGTACTATATTTTACTGAGTCACTACCGCAGGCAGAGCCGGCCGATAGCAAGCACCGCCTAACTGGGGTTCCTCAATCAATGTTTTGGTCAAATTAAACGCCGTTTAATTCACAATTTGAACATCAAAATTGTATTCCATCGCATCCGCAGACGCTTTAATAAAATCAAATAAACCATGCACGAGGGTAGACGTGCGTGTTGGGGGACGGGGTGGAGGGGAAACAACCCTGGGATGGAGCAACGGGGCACAGCGCCAGCTATAACGTGGCCAGTAGACAACAGTACAGCAAGCGGGTTATGCAACCATCTCATATACCTGGGGGGTGAGGGTGGTACTATAGTTTTCTGATACATGTAAAACACAGATGATAAGTAGGGGGGGGGGGGGGGGGGCGATGATCGCTCAGTGGAATGCAAATGTCATGGCTTTTCATGTTTGAACTGGGACGCTGGATTTACAAAATGGCCAGCTCCTCTCGATGACTTCGCGGAGACTCCTCCAACGTCCGCCGTGAAAGCAGACGCGACGCAAATACATCCTTACGTACACCCACATCCTTACGTACACACATCCTACCTACATTACGCACGTGAAAGCAGACGCGACGTGTATTTATCCTCCGGTCATCACGCACGGCACAAGAATAGCCAGGGAGGGCTGCCGGATTGGAATCGCGACACCGTTGAGCCTCGTCACGGCACCCACAATTCGATTGTAGACGAGCCGCAGATTTATGATCGATTCGGTCCAGGAACCAGCGTTCCCACTTCCGCCCGTCACAGAACTGTTGGGACGACAGTTCTGTTCTTTCACCTGATGAAGACTACTTGTGTTGTGGCCAAAACGTTGTGAGAATTTTATTGTCTCATTTTATTTTATTATTTTATTCTCATTCTACGTGACTTTACCGAAAGAACCAAAGAAAAAGAAATACATTTCTTTGCATTGCCCACGAGGTGGCGCCGCACGACTCGGCATAGAAATAAAGAGAGCAACTTTTGCGTTCATCCGACAACTCTGACGTTAAAGAAAATAATATATATACTGTACTGTACAGTACGTGTGTTAAATCGGCAAGGTTTCAGACAACGGCCCCTTAGTAGCACATAAACCATGTGCTATGACGAAGGGCGATGACGAAGTGCTAAGACGAAGTGCTATGACGAAGGGCGATGACGAAGTGCTATGACGAAGGGCTATGACGAAGTGCTATGACGAAGTGCTATGACGAAGGGCTATGACGAAGGGCGATGACGAAGTGCTATGACGAAGGGCTATGACGAAGGGCTATGACGGAGTGCTATGACGAAGGGCTATGACAAAGGGCTATGACAAAGGGCTATGACGGAGTGCTATGACGGAGTGCTATGACGACGTGCTATGACGAAGGGCTATGACGAAGGGCTATGACGACGTGCTATGACGACGTGCTATGACGACGTGCTATGACGACGTGCTATGACGGAGTGCTATGACGGAGTGCTATGACGGAGTGCTATGACGGAGTGCTATGACGGAGTGCTATGACGGAGTGCTATGACGGAGTGCTATGACGACGTGCTATGACGAAGTGCTATGACGGAGAGCTATGACGGAGTGCTATGACGGAGTGCTATGACGACGTGCTATGACGAAGTGCTATGACGGAGAGCTATGACGGAGTGCTATGACGGAGTGCTATGACGGAGTGCTATGACGACGTGCTATGACGACGTGCTATGACGAAGTGCTATGACGGAGTGCTATGACGAAGGGCTATGACGAAGTGCTATGACGGAGTGCTATGACGGAGTGCTATGACGACGTGCTATGACGGAGTGCTATGCCGGAGTGCTATGACGAAGGGCTATGACGAAGGGCTATGACGGAGTGCTATGACGAAGTGCTATGACGAAGTGCTATGACGGAGTGCTATGACGAAGGGCTATGACGAAGGGCTATGACGAAGGGCGGCAGTGAGCTTACCATGCTGGCGAGTGCGAGCAGGGTCGTCTGCACCTGCGTCATGTTTCCGTTCTCAAAGAGGTCGTTGGCTTCGAAGATGTCGTGGGCCTTGAGTCCGTACTCCTGGATCGCCTTGATGAAGTTGGTGAGGTTCTCCAGCTGCGTGGCAAGAACGGAGGGACGCAGGAGAGAGGGAGACCCCACCCCATCGGAGTCACCGTGGCGACACGCGTCGCTTCGTGCGCGCCCGTCAAGGTCGGCACAGCGATGGCGCGGCCGGCAAACGGCGAGGCCAGGTGCCAAACCGTCTCCCGAGTTGCCCTGTTGAGCACGTCCAGCAAACTACTCCGCGAACGTGGAGACCAACACTAAAACGATGTTTTTTTTATTTTACCAGGTAAGGGCTCACCGAACTATGCACAGCTCTCTTTAAACAGCGACCAGGCCACAAAGGACAGCTCAACGAAGTGGCTTATCACGCGGACATTTATCGCAGCCAAATACTCTAAACGCGTGTCGATTCTAAAAGACCAGTTATGGGATCGATAACAAAAGCGATGTGAACTGAAATCGCATTTACCATTACACACCGTGACCGCAAATTCACTACAAATTGCAGCCTTCTTCTTCCGTACGGCCGCTGATGTAGATGCAACGTTCAGGTGGTCAAGCCAGATAACCGCATCAATTTCGCAATTCTATTTGTCAAGTGACCCCAGGTCTGGTACAGCATAGGTTCAGGTACCAATTACCAAACATGGAGACACCAAACAAAATCCAGGAGGTACCGACACAAATGCACCGCATATCAGCATGTACTCTTTGACCAAGTGCTGCTCGTATGAGACTGGTACAGCATACCAAGGAGGTTGGGTGTCACCAGCGATCATGCCCGGCCACCTTTATCTCTCTAGTGTTGACTTTAGCACACCACACAAAATTCCCGTCCTTTCAAGCCGAGCTGACCTATCAGGAGACCCACGTTAGGGTCAGGTAGTGCACACGAAGACAAGATCCCCCCCCCCCCCCCCCCCCCCCGTATAGCCTGCACTGACTGTTGGGGCAAGTGCTGTTAGCAAGTAGCACCTACGAAGCCCGGAATGGCACACGAGGGCGTGGGTGGCCAGCACCACGCCCGACCGCCTTTGTCTCCCCAGTGCTGACGTTTACACATCGCACCACGTACTCGAGTCGACCTAGAGGAGGCCCAGGACGTGTTCAAATATTCGCCACTGTTATTGGTCTCGGGCGGGAATCAAACTCGGGGTTTCCAGGTTCGTAGCGCAGTGCGCTAACCACGACACTACCGCTTCCCATACTGTGCACACAAGACACGCGCACAACAGAAAAAGGACAAATGTGCCATTACCTTGTGCCAATTCAGCTTGGACCGGTTGATTTTCCTCACGGAGCCCGGGCGCAGTTTGTTGATGAGCCTACGACACAGAAAACAATTCCAGCGACGGACGACGACGACGACGACCGTCAGACCTCGATAAGCGCCAAAGTTAAACAAAGCCGCGGGGGCGCGCTAAAGCCTCGCGCGGACACGGCAAACGTGAGCCGAGCACACAAATCCTCGCGCCGCCAGCCACTGCATCCCCCAGGAGACCTGGAAACATTCAGCCGAGTGTAATGACACGTTCGTGCAGTTTTATCGCTTTATTTGCAGCCTTGACCAGGAATCAAACCGGATCCTTGATTGGGTCGTGGCTCGAGTGCGCCAGAATAATTAACGTGCGGCCAGAATGATTGGAGGTCGACGAGTAACAGAAACCGAACAGCTATTTGGAGTTTTCGGTGTCTCGAGCACTCCACGTGGATTTTTCCTCCGGGACATGCAGTTTTTCCCTCCTCATTTATAATTAATATCACGCGTTTCGAGTGTTCTACCGCCGCTTTAAATTTCCACACGATGATAAGCCACTTCGTTGAGCCATCATTTATGGCGAAGTCACTTCTGAAAAAGAGCTATACACTAGGTGGGCTTTACCTGGTCAAAAAAAAGTTTCGTTTTTGTTTCATCATTACCCTGCAGGTCCTCAACATCAGCCAATCATCAGCTCCACCTCGAGGGCCACCGGAACCAGAATTAGCGGGGGGGGGGGGGGGTCCCCCGGAAGGAGCGCGGGGTGGCAGGGGCAGCCGTGCCGTGCGGGGCCACTCACTCGCCCAGGATGACGCCGTCCTTGAGGCCCATCTGGAAGTTGGAGCCGATGGAGAGGCCGGTGATCTCCTCCATCCACGCGCGCAACTCCTGCTCCTTCTGCAAGTCGTACTTCTGGGCGATCTGACTCGCAAAACGCGCACACAGACGGACGCACGCACGCTTAGGACGTCATTTCTTTAGAGCTGCTTCTTGTTTGGTTTGGTGTCCTTCCCCCACATACCTCCCGATTAACGCGGTTGGCTACGTACGGTGCGAAAGAAGTTCGGCATACAACGGTAACAACACAGATTCCCAAGTGCTGTTAGCGAGCAGCACCTATGGAGGCCAGCACGGCACACGAGGGGGTCGGTGGCCAGAACCACGTCCAGCCGCCTTTGTCTCCCCAGTGGCGATGTTTACACACCCCACAAGGGCCTCATTTGAGGCCGAGTCGACCTACAGCAGACCCAGGACCGGTTTACGTAATCGTCAAAGGTGTTGGCCGTGAGCTGGAATCGAACTTGGGTCGCCGGGTTCGTAGCGCGGCGCGGAAACCGCTACACTACCGCCCCCCACACTTAGACATCAACACACGCACACACAAGCACAGGGGCACACACTGATGCAAAGTTGTGCAGGTAAAATAAAAAAAAACCTGACATGTGGATATGCGCACACGTACACAGAGACAAAGATGACCCCGATAGCCCTAAGAGCCAGCTCGGGGCAAGTGCTGTGAGCGAGAACCTGTCTCACACTCACACCTGCACTGCCAACAATGTCTGAGATGAATAAAATTAATCCTGTACAGATTTTGTCGTCGTTTCCTGCCCGGTGTAGTTTGTTTTCCCTGCTTTGAATTCCATTGGTCAGGTGCGGCCACTCGGGAGCATTGTGAACACCCTAAACCCCAAGCGGCGAGTAATTGCATCCTTTGTGCACACCTGGCATGAGGAATTAAGAAACCCCAACGCAGGCACCAGAACATTTTCCGTGTTCATTTGATGAAACTCTGCTTGGCACGGACCATAGCCACTGCCTTGCACGCACGCATGCACGCACGCGCGCACCACCTCCTCAAACACAAAAGAATGATCCCCCCTGTTCAGCCCCAGAGACCCTTAGGTCAAAGCGCTGTTTGCGAGCGCCTATTTAGGGTCACAAACGCACGAGAGACGGTGGTGCGGCCGTAACCTCGCCGAGGCCTTTGTCTCCGCAGTGCTGATGTTCACACACCGCACGTCAGGTGCTCACTGAGGGCCGAGCCGACCTCGGAGAGGCCCAGGACTAGTTGAGATGACATCATCCCCCGCCGCCGACGAAAGCCGTGGCCGGGAATTGAACGCTAGCCATTGCGTCACCACCTTCCCACAACATATTCACGCTCATAGAAAGCAGAGGCAAAGACACCGCGTAGAGACACGCAGACTGGACACCTATGAAGGCCGGTACGGCACGCAAGCGGTAAAAGTAGAAAACAACACGCCTGGCTTTCTTTATTGACGTGTTCACATTTAAGGCCGAGTTGACCTAGGGGGGAGGCCCGAGACCAGTACAGATATTCACCACTGATATTGGCCGTGAGCAGGAAGCGCATTCGGGTCTCCGGGTTCGTAACGCAGCGCGCTAACCACTCCGCCCCCGCACGCACACACACGCCCACCTGCTCGCATAGACACACACACATCTACCTACGGACACACACGCCCACCTGCTCGCATAGACACACACATCTACCTACGGACACACACACACGCCCACCTGCTCGCATAGACACACACATCTACCTACGGACACACACACACGCGCGCGCGCGCACAACAATGAACCCTGCGTGACTTATGGACTGTAGGTAGCCACTTTGCGATAAGGGACTCGTTTGGATAAGGAGCCTAGTGTGTGCGGGACCTCTGTTGGCACACGGGATTCCACGCACGTGTCAGAGTTCACGAGCCTTGCACGCACGAAACCACACACGCACGCATGTAACCACGCACGTGACACGTGACACATGACACGTGCACGCTCAAAACGGGCAATGGGTGGCGGTCATTAACGTCGGTAGAAATATTTTCTCTCAAGTGAACGACAAATTAGCTTGCAGCGGCTGTCGGCCACCGTTACCTATGAATAATCAAGAGCTCACAGAAGGGCCACTGCCCCGGAACATGAGCAAATTGTACGTGTGTTGAACTTCTTTCGCACCGTACGTAGCCAACCGTGCTAACTGGAGGTGCGGGGGAAGGACAACAAACCAAACACACACAAAGCGGTTATAAAGAAATTAGTTTGTCAATCTAGATGATGATTTAAAAGTGCATAGCTCCCAATGGCTTCCTAATATCAGAAGAGCGTTCCAGACGGCCGCAGAAGCGCTTGTGAAAGCGCCACAAGCCGCTGCGAGGATGAAAATCGTCTTTTGCGCGGCTAGTGGCGCGTGAATGACAAACACGATCCAGACGCGCGGTACTTCAAACGATTTTGAGACGTGCAATGCAACGCACGAACACATGCACGCATGCAGTTAGCACAAGACTCAATTTTAATCCATGAATGGAGTCATCATTACAGTGTCCGGGGAGAGTCACGGGCTCCATGCACTCCTGATATATATAAAAAAAAACGATGCTTGCCGCGTCAAGGGCGGACTTTTGGTTCCGTCCGTAATTAAAACGTGGAAACCTCCACAAGTAGTTTTCCGGCCGCCCACCAGATGCAGAGCTCGCCTTGTGCGAGACCATCAACGGTGAATGTGTCTGCACAGTCTACACCGAATGCACTGGAACGGTTGCCAGCGTGTCGCTGTGGGGCTTGGATCGTCGTCGTTGTCGTCGTCATCATCGTTTTGCTGCCTTGTCCAAGCTTGCATTTGGCGTTGACTAACCTGCAGGATGTACGTACTTGTGCAATTTGTACTGCCGCGCTTTGATTACGTGCGTATAGTTTTTTTAAGCGACTTGCTTAGCTTTTCCCGATCTCTCTCATAGCTCATCATATTCCTCCTCCCGCAGTCAATTATAAAGATTCCGACTCGGTCACAAGTTGTACCCGGTTCGGCGACTTCATAGACCGCATTTTCCACGATTCAGGGTCACGATTCCACTCAAGAATCGATCGTTTCATCTCATCGTCCGCCTCGCACGGTTTCCTCGATCGTCAACAATCGAATGCCGCGCACGCACGATTTGCCGCGCGCGTTGTGCGCTTAAAAAAAATCGTCACAAACCCAACTGCGAAGGAAATTTACTTCCCAATTTTGGTTAAAAAAATAAACAAAAAAAACACACAAGGACCGAGAGAGGAGATGAAAGCTGGCACGGCTTAAAAACTGCGGTGGATTTAAACAAAAACCCACGTGAAGACTCGTCAGAGAACGCGAAAACTGGCTGCAGGAGGTGAGCCTCCGAGACCTGGGATCGGCAACCGAAATAACAAGGAGGCATTATTAGAATTTGTTTTAAATTCAGGAATATAATGCAATGCATGCGAATACAGAGTACGTACGTTACACCGTAAGCAAACAGTCCTCGAAGAGTCTCGCGCAGCTTCGGAGCCGCGGGTCGCTGAGCCCCGCTCCAGACATTACAGCAGCATCAAAAAACACGCTCGTGCAGACAATCCGGCCAAGGGGGCTCGACCGGCAAAATGATGGGCCAAGTGGTGGCGAGTCTCACCGACTGTTGCTCGACATTGGCCTCGGTTGGCGCTTTGAGTTCGGAATTCTCCCCAGGTATAACCCCCCCCCCAGCCGCCCCACCCTCGGCCACTGCCGTTGTTGACGTTCCGCTGCGTCTTGCTCGGGGGGACCGTCCGGTGGACGCTTTGGGAACAGGCCACAGCCGCGGCCTGCGGTCACAACCAACCCTCAAATCGCAGACCGCACAGGAACGCCGCGGCCCGCCCCCGATCATTCGCCGGGCAGCGTTACTTAGAGGACTGCAGAGCTTGGGCAATTGTTGGGATGGCTCGCTACCTGGCTGCCTTCCACCGGCTTTGTCTGCGGTTGCTCGGTGATTGTGATGCAATTGCATTAATGACGCCAAACGCGCACGCACGCGTGCGTGTGTGTATATACACACACGCACGCGTGTTCCTGCTCTCACAGGCCGCAACTCTGGCCTAATGAATGCTGCTATCATAATTCAGGGCTCGTGACAACACTTATGACCAAAATAACCCGGAATGTGCTCAAGATCTGTGCCCGATCTCATCTGATGTTGGAAGCCAAGCAGGTTTGGGTCTGGATAGTACAGCACGTGCTTGGACGGGTGACTGTGTAAGATACCACGCGCAGCTATGTGCTGAGCACCACAGGGCAGTGGCTTCTGTGCTCACGTTGATGCTGCCCACCTTCAACTCGCACACGCTGTGGTGAGGGCACTCATCCAGCAGTGGATTGACAACGGGACTGTAGGTGCAAAGATTGATTGTGACAGTGGCGAGACTTCAGAAATCGGTCTGCGCTGGGTAAACAGCTGACCACAGATTGCCGGTTCACGTTATGTTTTATGGGAATGAAGCCACCTGAATTATGCACTCCCAGAAGGCTGTGCGGCTGACGGGTCGTGTGAAGATACACTTTGGTTTGTTGTTGTTTGTTATGCGAAGGGGGGCGTATGATCCGCTTATCCATTTCGCTATTTCCCTTCTCCAAAACGACGGCCATTACAATTTTAATCTTCGCATTTAACAGCTGAAGTGTTTTGTTTTCTTTCTCGAGAGCACCCCGAAGCCATTCATTAGGCGAGCAGACAATCGAGCGCGTCGCCCAACGTGGAAGCCCTCCAACGAGGCCGCCGCCTGCCGCCGAGTTGGCCGCAAACACCGCGCGGCCCGCGAATCCGAACGTCCGTCCCCCCCCCCCGCGACCCGCCCCCCTTTCCGTGCAGCCGAAACTTTGGCCGAGCGGCACGGAGCCTCAAAAGAGAGGCGCGCCACTGAAAGCCGCACTGTGCGGCGAGCGAGCGAGGATCTTTTGTGCGCTAGACAAAGGCTGGGAGACAGTAGTGGGGGGGGGGTCACCGCCGTGGGATGGGTGCACGCTCGTGCGAGGTCAGCATCGGAGCGGCCGGCGATACGACCGCCGTTCCACTGGGCAGCCACCCGCGATTAAAACGGCATTCTCAAGCGCAGCGGGGTAG